AATGAGTGGTATTGTCAAATAAGAACAAGATTTTTTTTTATAATTGTCTAACTAATGTAATAAAATTGGCCGATCTTCCCTACCCCTTCTTCCGCTGTCTCTCGGCACTCGCACTGCTGGCATTAGGTTCCGTTGCCTGTTCACTTATTTACTGTACGTCTCCTCCGCTGGAGTGCACGACCCATGCAGGCAGGGTTTTGTTGCTCTAGGTTGGTGCTCTTCAACAGAAATAGGGTGCAGGCCACATATGTATTTTGAATTTTCTAGTAGCTGCGTTAGAAAAGTTAAGAAGAAACAGGGGAGTTCGTTTTATTTAACCCAGTCGATCTAAAATATCATTTCATTTCTCAGTGTAAAAAAGGTTGAGGCATTTTACATTCTTTTTTATACCACGTCTTTGCAACCCCGTGTGCCTTTTGCGCTTCAGCACCTCTCAGTTTGGACTGGCCGCATTTCAGGGTCTGATAGTCAGCGTGGCTAGCGGTTATTCCATTGCCCTGCCCAGGCCTAGTTCTTTGTTCCTAGAGTGGTCTCCAGTATGCCCAAGGCATTCAGGGAAGTGTTGTTGAATGAATGGACCTTGCTGTTTCAGACATGAAACAGCAAAAAAACAACAACAAACCCAAAAAACTGAAGTTGTTTTTCACATTACATCTTTTTAACAGTTTTGAGGATGGTGAATGCTAGAGGTTTAGACATTGTCTTCAGAGCACTTCACTCTGCTTACATGGAATTTAAATGTTACTAGTGCTTGGTGAAAACTGGTTTCTTCAGTAGTCCAATGTAAGAGATTCTTTTCATAGTTGATATAAGAAGTAACTGGTAGGTTCTTCTTTAAAAAAGCATTCTATGGAACATTAGTTTCAATTCTTAGTTTAAAAAAAAAACCCTAATAAAAGCAACGGGTAAATCTAGCATAGGAGAGAAAGAAAGGCTTGCTGTATGGCGTTCAGTCCTAATTCCATCCCTGGTGGTGGTAGCCGTGGGACATTGGACCTTAGGTTTTGTTTAAGCCTTAGTTTTCTCATTTGTAAGTGAAGGATTTCATCCATCATACCTGTCTTCATAGATTTAATGTGATTACTTATATACATAGTCCAGCACAGTGAATGAAAAAGAATAATTGCTTAACAAATGGCAGTAATTATTATTATAATGCAGTAAAAATTGAACTTTTAAATATTAAGACTTTTTCATCTTAATTTTAAACCTTTAGCTTATATGTTTCTTCATTTTGGGTCCTTAACATATCCTGGTTAAAACGCCTTCATAAATCTGGATTTGAAGTTTACTACAGAAATTGCCTGCAGATTGATTTTTCTGGTTCTCAGTATTGTCATCTGTGAATTGGGGAAAAATTGTATCTACCTAAGCATTGTGCCTGGTATGTAATAAACACTCAAAAATTTTAGGTATCATTCACTTAGGTATTATTCATTCATTCATTTATTTTAAAAAATTCAATATTTCAATACATTTCTATGTTTATTATATACTAATAATTTTCTTTAAATAGTTAAACTTTTAATTCTTTTTTTATCTTGCTTTAATGTTGCATGTACTTTAATAACATTCAGTAGATTTAAAATTCATGTTAATGCAGCTACTCAAATGCATTTAACACAATTCGTCGTTCCCCTCTTGGCATATTTTTTGCCCACCTCCTTGAGTGTCTTATGAAAACTAGGCTTTGGATTTAAACTGTGGCCATGAAATTTTGCCTCATTTTTTGGCCTGCTTGTTTCAACTTTGTTCTAAACTAAATTGGTGGTCATTGAAGACAGAAGGTTCTATATATTTTGTAATAATATTCTCTCTTCAATAGCATATATGTTTCAGCAGTCACCATTTTAATGAAGTGTTGCTGATCTCTCAAATGGGAGGGTGTGTTCAAATTTAGGTAAAACTTTCCATTTGGCTTCTAATTTCGTGTTCAAGACACTATAAACATATAACTTTCTTAATGATTCATTTAACTTTTCTCCATCAGTTCTGAAATAAGGTAGGGTTTTGAAGTATTTTAAATTCATAAGTTAACTTTTTTTTTGTATTACTAAATTTTTTTTTTCAAGGATGGATTAAAGGGTCAGATCATATTCTACTTTATACTTTGCCTCACTCAATAACAATATTCTGTCAATTCTGTCCCAGAAATATCTGTCAAAAACATCCTCTCAACTCCCCATGGCTCCTGTTTTAATTCAGGTCTTTACCATCTCTCACCAATGGATTACTCAATTAGTACACTAATGTTTGGGGATTCTCTTAGTCCATTTGGGTTGCTGTAACAAAATATCACAGGTGAGGTAGTTTATGAACACCAGAAATTTATTTCTCATAATTGTGGAGTTTGGAAAGTACAAGATCAAGACACCAGCATAGTTGTGTCTGATGAGAGCTGGCTTTCTGGTTCAGAGCCATCTCCTCGCTGTGTCCTCAATGGTAGAAGGTCTAGGGAGCTCCATGGGGTCTCTTTTATAAGAGCATTTATCCCATTCATAAAGGCTCCACCTTAATGATCTAAGCACCTCCCAAAGGCCCAACTTCCTTGTCTTCGAAGGTTAGAATTTCAACATATGACTGGCAGGGCGCAAACGTAGCAGGGAGCACCTACTTAAGTTTTGGGATGTAGCTATGGTCAAGACCAGTGCCATCCCTGCTTTCATTGAACCTGTGCTTTCTCTCGAGTTGCATTAGGCTGTTATCTGTCTTTCAGCGCTCACCTTGTCCTTCTTCCACACTGTCTTCTGTGCCACCTCTACTCAGTCTGTTCATTAAAACCTTTAAATAGTCTTCATAGGACCAAGATAATATTCTAAATTCTTTATCGTTTATAAGGTCTTCATAACATGGTTCCTCTGGCAAACCCCATGATGAGGCCTGTTTCCTTTAAGACTTAGTTCAGAAGCCACTTCCTTCATTGCCATCCCCAGCTTCCTTTGGCTGGGGTAGATTGTCCTCTGAACACCCACAACACTGTATAGACCCCTCCTATAGTAGTCATGGTATCCTAAATATTATTCTTCCCTCATTTGACCATGATCAAATGAATGAAACCCCTAAAAAGAATCACTTTGAATAATGCATAGTTCTTACAATATCTAAGAGGATATCTATACTTCAGTCTTTTATCACGTATTTATTAGCTATGGATCTAGAACTCTGAGGGTACTATTAGTAATCAATAGATGTGACCTCTGCCATTACAATTACTACTTTGAGAGAAAATTAAAATAATCAGAACTTTCTGGTAATTATTTGGGGAATGATGCTTTATACAACCATGAGTATTAAAGAAAAATTCTTTTTTGTTTTTGAACCATAGGAAGCTTGTCTAGGTTCTGACTGTTGCTTGGGAGTATATGTTTAGTTTGCATATGTGTTCTGCAGATTCTTCAGTCAGTCCCAAAGTCAAGTCACCATAGTCTTCAGGAAAGTGACATTCACATTGAGATAATTTCTATGTATCCATTGGGCAGTTCCTGTAGTTTCTGGGGATGAATCATAGGAAAGAACCAGTGGGAAAGAAGGGTTTTACTCTGGCATCCTTTCCTTTTAGTTTTTATTTTTCTTGGACAAATTTTAATGAGTATAAGACTTTTGTGGGTTTTATAGTGAATTCTGTGTTGACATTTTAAGAAAAGTATTTTTTTTCTTTTTCTTTTTTTAACTAATTATTCTTGGAAACATTTCTTCACTCTTCCATCTCATGGTGCTGAATTCCATGTTACAAGCATAGAAAATGTTACAAATAGGATAATCTCTTTGCTAATGAGTTTTATTTTCATATTGTATAAATGCACACCCAGGATGTAAAAGAGAGTACAGTTAATCAAGCAGATAATTGGTTTCCCAGATTATAAAAATGTCTGGGCTTAAATTGGATAGCAAAAGACAGATTTTTGGAAGTGTAGGGGTTTTCTGTGTGTTTGTTTTTAAGCATTTTTCTGAGTCAGAGGAGAAAAGAATCGTGTGCTAGAAATACAGTGCTGTAGTGTCCTTAAAATTCAAACTGCACTCTTAAGTGACACCACCTGTACTGCAGTGTATACCCATGGTATATAGTCAGTAAACTTATCTATCACTTCCAAGCTACACATCAGAATTTAAATGTCTTGGATTCTGTAGTTACATGGATACATCATGGCAATATAGACACTCAGAGCATCTGACAGTGGGCTTGGAAACGTATGTTGTTAATGGTTCATATTAACTGAGGGATTTTTGGAATTTAGTCTCCTTTGCATATAATATACCATTAGGACCATAAAAGTCAAACCTAAGTACCTGTGCTTGCAGTGAAGTTGTAAGAGGCAATGGATTTGTGCTCTTTATTTTAGAGACTCTGTTGCACACTATTGTCCAGAAATGAATAGCGTGTCCTCAAAGTAAAAGTTATTTTCATTCTTTACCTTTCGTGGGTTAAAGACCCCAAAGTTGAAATATAGTCTGCAAAAATATCCTGCAAATATATGTGAGAAGCCTGTGAGCAATGCCGAAACTTAATTAATATGCTGAGAAGTATATAAAACATACAACCACTGGATTGAGAAAATGAAAATTAATATATGAATGTTTTAGCTGACACTGGGCTTTGCCCCCAGAACCTGGTGTTTATTATTGTGTGCTTTGGTAGGAGACAGAAGCAGTATCGATTGAAACAACATTTCTTAGTGAACTGAGAACAGTATGGCTTTCTAGTTCCTACGTGGGAAGCCTGGCTCTTTGGTTTCTTTGTTCCTCGTTGGGCTAGTCCCGAGCTATTTTAGCTGAACATTTTATATACTAATGGAGCCTAGGGAAGTGCCTTTGGCAGCTGTTCATGGGAAAATAATGAAATACACTATTTAGTACTGCATGTTGCCGCTGTAAAATGCAGGGAGTATTTTATGGAGATCTTGGTGAGCAGAGCTGTATCCACTTTAAGTTTAACAAGTGTGTGAACCTGAGTGAGGAAGTTGTATTTTCATATGAGAATAACTAGTACTCTTTTCTTACAGGTAAAGAAAACTTGCACCGAATCAGATGTTTCAGAGCCTCAGAATTCCAGGTACAGTAAAACGGAGGCCAAGACTTTCTAAGAAAAGCTGCAGTTTTCCAGATACAACTGTGATTTGAAATACTAAGTTTCTTTAAGGACTTATCTGTATGGAAATTGACTGCCTAGGGTGCCATTAATCATAATATTAATAAAAGGGGCCATGGTTAAAGTCAGCTTTAAAAAATAATACCAGACCCATCTCTAGAAATACTTGAAAACATCCTCCCTTCGCATTCATTATTTTCCATTCACCTTCATTTTTCTTACCAATCTCCTATCATGTATTCACATCTGAAACTTTGCCACAAACTGAGTAACTTTCAAATGTAGGTTTAACAAAAAAACTACAATATTTCTTTTCAATCAAACATTGCTAGATTTTGTGAATGCTGTCAAATTGGAAAAATCAAAATTAATTGGACATTCTCTTTTTGCTTATTCGGAGCCTGTATAAATGATGAATTAAAATGGTCAGGACACTACATGCCCAACAGATTTTTTTTCAGGCCTATACATTTTCATTTCAAGATCCAGGGGCTCACTTTTAAGTAGATAAGTGAAAGTATTGTAAATACCATTGTCATAATAAATACATATCCTTAATATGATATTAATGAGATACCATAACCTATTGCATTAAGAAATTTGTATTTAATGGTGAAATGGGTCTGCTTGTTTTATCCTACTTGCTCCAAAATATGATATATGTAGTGATTTTCTTGCTATAATTAAACAATATAGCATTAGGTAACGTGTCAATGACTGCCATATATTCTTTTTGGACAGCAAGTACATATTTGTACAGTCTATTTACAGTTTGAGTAACCTTTCCTTTGCTTTATGGAGTGTGATATTTCTATAAGTAATTCCTATACATTTTATATTAAAAGGATTATATATAATCTTCTGTATCATTAAGAGTGTATAATCCACAAATGGGTACAAGTGAGAGGGAGGGAGAGAGAGAGAAAGAGAGAGAGATATTCAGATAGAGATTTAAAAGCCTGGGCTAGATAATTTTATTCTAAACAAACATAAAGTAAAGAACTGAGCTCCAAATGAAATACTGCATCAGCATAAAATGCATGCAGGCTGGAGACCCACTGCCTTATAAAATGCTGCCTCACTTGGAACCTAAAGCTAATGTCACTCATTTAGCTAGCTTTATAGTATGTTGGTTTTGGATTTGAAAAGATTAGAATGAATACAGATGGAAAGTGTTTTTACAGTAGGGAAGTAATTAAATTGGGTGTGGAGACTTTGTCAGGAAAATTCTTGCAGTGACATATGTGTATCAGCAAATTCTTTGTCTTGCTTGGCCTTAATTCTTCCTTGGGAAAGAAATGCGTGGGCTGCAGATGTGCCTGGTAGATGGGGGAAAGGAGAATGTACGAATTCATGCGATGGAAGTAGGTAAGAATGTCTGCTTAGAAATAACATTGTGCGTCTATGCTGAAAGTCAAACATTAGGGACAGTGTTTTCTCAGGTCCATAAAATTATTAAACTTGACGTCTATGAAAGGGGATATAATGTGTTTTACAGAAAAAGTGACATTTCTCAATGTTTTGCGTGTTTTTTACTTTCCTCTATGTTGCGTGCCATATCCAGAATATACTGTCGTTGGCCTTTGTTCCTAAGACTAATATTAACTATAAAATGTGTACATGAGAAAGCTAAAATTTATATTTTTCGCATACTTCACCATACCCTAAAATTGTTTGTTGCCAGATAGACCATCTTAAGACATGAACGGAAACATTTTATGCTGATTTTGTCTATATTTGTGGTGAGTTTATTTGGGAGATGTTTGCCTCATTCAAGTCTTCACTGAAAAGACATTGACCTTGCTTAATTTTACTGTGATAGACACCTCTTGGACAAGCAAAGTTAATAGCAGAAGTTTCTTTGAGTCCCATATTTTTTTTAAAAAGTCTTCTGCTTTCAGTCCTTCTTATTTCTGATAGCAGGTGAGGAAATATTTTATTCTTTAATTGCATTCTTGGCAAATAATCTTAGAGTGCCTGTATGTTAAAATAGTCCCTATCATATCCATATGATCTCTTTGATGATCTTTGATGAAGTTGGGTTACACTTTACATAGAAAGAAAGCAAAACTCAAATCAGGCAATTTTGTTTTAAACTCAGTCCGTTAACTGAGGAGTGAATGGAAATAATGATTCTGGTGAAACTGGGTTTGAAGTGACTTCCAGGAAATACATCAGGTTGTTTTTTACATTATTGCTTCCCCTCATCCTGTCCACAGCACCACTAGTAGCTTACAATACGGGAATCTAAGTACTAAAATATAGGAAGTACATATGGTGCGTGTGAGCTGAGATGATAGGTTTTCCATCTAGACTCTAAGATGACTCTGAAGGAGGACTCCTCCCCACTTTAAAGGGTAAAGGAATTGGGCTTGCCGAGAACTTAATGGTTGCCTGAAATCAGTAAAGCCCTGGCCATGTGCTGTGGGTTCTTGCCCTAGTCTGTCCTAACTTCACAATTATCAAGCAAAAGACAGAAGACTTTTCAGCTTTTGGAGTGAATCTCTGTTGAACATCTAGTAGTTCAGTGAGCCTCCGGAAGTTTATTCAGTGTCTGTGTATAAAAACTTTTTTAAAAATGCAACTTATTCATCTCATGTAAATAGTTATGATTTAACAATGTTATATTTAAGACAGTAAGTTATACACATTTATTTGCTAGTAAAGTAATTATTGCAGTGCTTCCAGAATCCAGAAATGGTTATCTGCTTATAATTTTCTATTAAAAATTAAATGCTGTAGTATTCATACCAGTGAAAGCTGAGGACCCCTTTGTGAAAACACACATAGTATTTCACTGCGTCAAATCACAGGCCCATCTAGCCCAATATTCTATCCCTAAGTAGTCTCAAAAATTATTGCTACCAGGTTGCATGTTTTCAATCTTGAAAATTTTAGGACACAGCACCAATAAAATTAGGTACCCCCTGTAACACAATCTAGCTGTACAGTCCATGGGATTATATAAGTATATCTTGGGCTTAGTCATATTACTAGCATAGACTATCTTTCTGGGCTAAAGAAACCAGAAAATTACTAATAAAATTACAATACAAAATAATAATTCATTCCTTGTAGTTGTTTAAAACTATCCTTTCAAGTCATATCCTTCCCTTGAAAATTATAGATAATTAATACAGAGATATTCTAAGAGTGTGATCTAATTCTCGTGTTTCAGGATTTGAAGAGAAAGACCCTGATAACTCTATCTCTATATAAAATGGTATAGTTAACCTGAGTCTTATTATAAATTTATCTTTCTCTTCCCAACTTTGAGAGCCTTTTGTCTCATGTCAAAGCCCTGCTTCTTGCAGATGCTCCTCTAGTCTCTCCAGCATTTTGGCTCCCCTCCACTGGAGGTTTTCTGAGTCTGTTTTGCCCGCCTTGGTGCATGCTGACAGATTCCTACAGGTGTGGAAGCAGCTGGGATTCTGAATAAGAATGAGCAGCGTATTCTGCGTTGCTGCTGATCGCATCCTCGCTATCTGGGATAGCCTGACCCTTTCGGTCATGGGAGCATATTGAGTTGATTTCCTCAGATAATTGTTTGCAGCATCTGCTAAATCCCTGATATCAGTGATAATTGAAGATTTAAACCACAATCTCAAAACTTAGATTGTTGTTTCCTAAATACCTTACCATATGTGTTCCTGATTAGCCTTTTCCTATAGTTCGTTGGGAACTCTTGGTAATTTATTGGCCAGCATAGCTTAGTGCTCTCTCTACACATACTGATTTCTTTGTGCATTTCACCTCCAAAGTGAATCATCTTCCAGGACTGAATGAGTACATGAGAGTAAAATAATACATGTGAGAGGCTCTTACACATTGTTGCCCACAGAATAGTTGTTATGTGTCTAAAGTGGAGCACGATATCCTCAGACCCACAGTGAAGGAAGACTAGGCTGCCACTGAAGGGAGGAAGGGTCTCATTATTGACACCCCTTCATTCACACATGTCTTTTTTAGCCTTTGCTTCCCTGTCTTCAGAGTCCTTTTTGCTTTCCTTTCATTTCATATTATTTCATGCATAATCTCTGTTCACGACTCTCCACCTGGCCTGCAAGGCCCAGCATGCTCAGGCCACTTCCTGTGACTCCAGCTTTGGTTTCAGTCACGATCCCCCTGGGGGGAAGGTCTGCATTACAGGTGCCATTCTCCCTCTACGGAGGCTGGACCACTCCTTCCCCTTTTGTGCTACTTTTCCCCTCCCAGCTTTGTTCCCCTACTTAATTTCAACTCACCCTTCAGATCTTTGCTCTCCCCTGGCTGGCCCACTGGTCATATGGCCACATGAGCCCATATACTTCCCCTTCACAGTTGCCTCATTTGAGTGATACTCTATACTCCAAGCTCCATGAGGTGAGGGATTATATCTGCTTCCTTTTGTTCCCTGTTGTATCATCATTAAACAGCTCAGGGCTTAGCATGTAGGTTCATAGGTGGTAAGTGAATAAATAACTTTCAAATATATAAATCCAGCTTGCAGTCTCTCTTGGAACATCTCTTGTAACCACAAATCCCTGATACGATTTTACTAGGGATTTCTCTGCTATCTCAAACTCCTCTTGTAAAAAATTATAATTATTACATTCCTTACCCCAGTGTCTTTCTTTAGTGGTGATTTTCTTAGTTGTCCTGCCTCAGACTTTTAGAGTAGTCTTTGACTTACTCCTCTCTTTCCTTTCTCAACTCCTGTTGATCCTCAGGCTGTATTTAATTTTCCTTTCCTATGTTTTGAATCCCTTTATCCTGCCCCTTCCCATTACCACCGTGAGAGTTCAAGCTCTTGTTACCTCACCTCTGAATCGAGACAGTAAGTCCCTGGACATTGACCTTGCCTTTCTGTTCCTCCAGGTTGCCAGGTGAGCCGTTCTTAATGGTACTTTCTATGTGTGGTTGCCCTGTTCACTGATCAGAAAGACAGTATTCAGTAGATACTTACAGTATTTACAGGAAGATGA